CCACAAGAACCTGAGGAGAACATGCAAACTCCACACAGACAGCACCCCGGGAATTCAAGTCCCAATGCTGCTAGGAGACAACGCCACCCACTGCTCCTCAGTGCCGCCACATTCTAAATGCGAAACGCCGCTAGTGTAAAACTTTTATTCAGTAACTTAAGCTGGTTTACTGTTTCCCCCTTCTGGCGAAGGTGCAAAGTGTTGCATTGTTGCACAGTCTTTTTAAGCTCATGATTGATCCACGACGGTAGACTTGATTTTTATTTGCTGATAAGATACATAAGATACATGCTCCCCCCTGATTGTTCCACCTCTCCCCCCCAGCCGCTACCCTGAAGCCAAAGTGATCAACTTCGGGACCTGGTTCATCTTCAGTCTGCCCATCTCCCTGGTGATGCTGTTCCTGACCTGGCTCTGGCTGCACTGCTTGTTCCTGGGCTGCAAGTGAGTGGAGAACCTCTTTATCTGGGGTCCAGTGGGGCTCTGCAGTTGGAGAACCGGCCCAGCAGAACCCCCACTGCTGCATGGAGATGGAAAGTTTCGTTATTGGGGTGCAGTCGGGCTCGGCAGTTTGAGAAACGGCCCAGCAGACCCTTATTATTGTTTCATTATTGGGGTGTAGAGGGGGTCTGCAGTCTGCAAAGCGGGCTAGGAGGAGCCCACAGCCTTGGGTTAGTGTAGAGTTTCATTGTCGGGGAGCAATGGGGTTCTGCAGTCTGAAAATAGGTCACAGTACCCCAAATCATCTCCCAAAATGAATTGTCCAGAAAACACGGCACTTCTGGTACTTCGGAGGAAGTGGTGATGATGATGATGATGATGATGTGTTATGGTGTGTTAACTTTCTATCTCCATCTTCATCGGGCGATGCAGATGGAAATTCCCCAAACACCTGCTGCCTCCTCTGGTTTGTGCTAGGTGTTGTGTTTTTTCTGCCACTTGTGTGTTCTTCTCCCGCGTGTCTGTTGCCTCCTTCACCTTCCCGTCCACCGGTGTGACCCCCCATTTCTGCCCCCCCGATCTTCCCGCCCTGCAGCTTCAGAGAGACCTGCTCCCTCAGCAAGAAGCGCAAGACCCGCCGGGAGGAGCTGTCGGAGAGACGCATCCAGGAGGAGTACGAGAAGCTCGGCCCGGTCAGGTGGGTCAGGATTACAAGATTCTGGGTCTGGTCAGGTGGGTCAGGATTACGAGACGTTGGGTCCGTTCAGGTGGGTCAGGATTACGGGAAGCTCAGCCCGGTCAGGTGGGTCAGGATTACAAGAAATTGGGCCCGGTCAGGTGGGTCAGGATTACGAGAAGCTCGGCCCGGTCAGGTGGGTCAGGAGTACGAGAAACTGGGTCCGGTCAGGTGAGTCAGGATTACGAGAAGCTCAGCCTGGTCAGGTGGGTCAGGAGTATGAGAAGCTGGATACGGTCAGGTGGGTCAGGTTTACGAGAAGATCGGCCCGGTCAGGTGGGTCAGGAGTATGAGAAACTGGGTCCGGTCAGGTGGGTCAGGATTACGAGTAGCTCGGCCCAGTCAGGTGGGTCAGGAGTATGAGAAACTGGGTCCGGTCAGGTGGGTCAGGAGTACGAGAAGCTCGGCCCGGTCAGGATTACGAGTAGCTCGGCCCGGTCAGGTGGGTCAGGAGTATGAGAAACTGGGTCCGGTCAGGTGGGTCAGGATTACGAGTAGCTCGGCCCGGTCAGGTGGGTCAGGAGTATGAGAAACTGGGTCCGGTCAGGTGGGTCAGGATTACCAGAAGCTCAGCCTGGTCAAGTGGGTCAGGAGTATGAGAAGCTGGATACGGTCAGGTGGGTCAGGATTACGAGAAGATCGGCCCGGTCAGGTGGGTCAGGAGTATGAGAAATTGGGCCCGGTCAGGTGGGTCAGGATTATGAGAAGCTGGGTCCAGTCAGGTGGGTCAGGATTACGAGAAGCTCAGCCTGGTCAATTAAGAGAAACCAGGTCTGGTCAGGTGGGTGAGGATTACGAGAAGTTGGGTCCAGTCAGGTGGGTCAGGATTACTAGAAGGCGGGTGCAGTCATTCTGGGTCAGGGTAGAATTTTAGGAGCTGTTTCATGGGATCTTAATGACTCCATACAGTCATGACTAGGGTTTAACATCTCATCCAGATATGGCCTCTCCTACAGTACCAATGTCACCTGACACCATACGGGTTATCACTATGATCATGCAAAAAAAACCTCAAAGGTCAAAGAAAATACAGAAATCTGCAATGTGCAAGAAGAGTTTATCTGCACGAGCTCCCCAGACTGTGGTCCATAATATCTCAGAAGCAAGACACTCGTTCCTGAACAAGTATCTTGTAAAGCCAGACAGAGCTGTCCTGCTGTCGCCTGGTGCCTCTGGCCTGGGAATATAGGTTTCAGGACAGAATGGCCACTATAATCTCGACTCCTTCTCCTTCATACACACAGTATGCAGCAGCGGTCTGCAAACGCAGTGGCGCACAACAGCACCAGGAATGAAAGTGGTGCTTTCCTGTCGTACAACGTAGAATCATCTGCCATTTTGAAGCAAATGGGATTAAACCAGCTCTGTGATAATGCAGAAATATGTTTTATTATAACACAAAAAGCACATGTTGTGGTAATGCAGTTTTGGAAAACTGGTCCCAGGTGATTTGAGAGCAGTCCAGTGCAGCAGACGTCACTCGGGACAGAGCACCGTGAGTCGGGGATCGGGATGCAGGGCTGTAGGTCCAAGATCTGGATGGAAGACTGTAAATCCGGGATTGGAATAGAGTGCTGTCAATTCGGGATCGGCAGGGAGGACTGTAAATCTGGGATCTGGATAGAATGCTGTGAGTCTGGGATCAGGATGGAGGGCTGTAAATCCGGGATTGGGATAGATGGCTGTTAGTTTGGCATCAGGATGGAGGGCGGTAAATCTGAGCTGTTAGTCTTTGGATGGTGGTCTGTCAGTCGGGGATTGGGATTAAAGCACTATGAGTCCAGGATCACGATTAGAACACAGTTGGTCCAGGATCGGGATGGATCTGGATGAATCGGGGGGTGGAGGGCTGTAGGTCCGGGATCGGGATAGATCAGGGTGGATCAGGGGATGCAGGGCTGTAGGTCCAGGATCGGGATGGATCTGGATGAATCGGGGGGTGGAGGGCTGTAGGTCCGGGATCGGGATAGTTCAGGGTGGATCAGGG